TTTAATGCGTGTCATATTCTTGCGTTTTACGTGTATTCGTTCGTGTCGCGCATATTGTATGTATATCATAAAGGTTATACTACCCAATTTTGAGGTAATCGACAATGTAATGAGTGGGTCTGCGGTTGGTTAACACTGTACGACGGAACAACGTTAGCTGAACTAAGAATCAACGCCTAGTGGTATTCATGCTGTCTGCTAGCCGCGGAAGCTGGGGAATTAAGCAATATCTACTGGCAGTATAATTACTCAACTAGCGTGCGCTGGACATAATTGAGAACACGTACCAGAAACACAATTAATTATTTGTTGTGGGGCAAAGCGACCTGAAGAACCAACCCAGGCTGGAACGCACCAGGCGAGCCGGTGCGATTATGCGTTTTTGCACTTTTCGTGCCGTAGCAAGACCGCAAGGAATCAAAGTAGCTAACCCTGTGAAATACTGGCCCTCGAAGTTCGGGAAATTAATTGTGCAGCTCCATGGTATGTCAGCTGTAGGGGTCGACTTCAATGGCCCGACAAATGGAAAGTTGCTGGTCCGCAAGAAAAAGCCACGCTAGAAGAGTTAAATTTAAAATTTTTGAGTCGCACATGAGCAAGGAACATATCCTTAAAATTAAAGCATTCAGCTTTTCCCGCTCCCAAGTTAGCAATTTTCCCATCAAAATTTTCACTTGTCCGTGCGTAAGTACCGGACGGTTTTAAGGAGCTGAATTTAAAATTTTTTAGTCATACATGGGTACGGAACATAACTCTAAACTTTTAGCTTTTTAGCTTTTCCCGTTCTCGGTCTAGTAGTTTTCGCGGCAAAATTTTTACAGGCTCATATGTGGGCTCGGGTGCTTCTAAACAATTGATTTTGCTCGTACATGAGTAGGGACCTTCCCATAAAGTTTCAGCTTTCTAGCTTTTCCCTTTCCCGGGTTAGTAATTTCCGCACCAAAACTCTCACATGTGGCATACTTCGGTCTCGAGCGCCTCTAAACAACTGATTTTGTTTCTACATAAGTAGGGGACACTCCCGTAAAACTTCAGCTCTCCAGCTTTTTTCGTTCCCGGGTTAGTGATTTCCGCGCCAAAATTCCCGT